TCGCTAATTCATTGTTGACTCGATACTGATGACTGCAATTGCATTTTTTTACATTTTTTAAATGTATTTTTGTAATCGTTTTATTTTGTAGGTTTTTTGACATGTAAAAAATACAACGCATGTTGAAATAATTTTTTAAGACAGGTTGCACGAACGTATGGCTGCAGATTGTTCTGCACGAGTTACAAATGGATTGCAACCTGAGAGCGGCATGTAAAATATATGCAGTGTCGCTCTTATGAGTTCAATTTTTACTAGGATTTGGTTTGATACAATGCAACACAGGTTTTAAAGATTTAGTGTAGAGCCAATAATATGTGTAAATATTTTTTCAGCGATCAAATGGCCTAATTGAACAATTTTAATATCCAAATAATTACAATACGTTGCACTTCAATAAACGCGCTACATGCCAGTCACAATTATCCAAGAGCATGGAGCACAAAATTAACATACTCCTTCAAATTCGTAGATTGCACAAATACAAATTAAGTGTGAACAAAGTTCGATGTTGATTGACCAATCCAACAAATAAATGCAAGTTAAAAAATTAACTACTGAAATGGAGCGTGTTAAAATGTCATAAGTAACAGCAACGTGTCTAGTAAGTTGGGACTCAAGTTACGGAAATGCACATTGCAACATATAAGATCATGTCATTGCAAATATGCGGATCTGACAAACTCAGGTTACTTTGTATTGACAGCAATTTTGTCAAAAATTGGTCTGTGGCTTTTATGCACAAGCATAAAAGTTCAACGAGTCCAAACCAAAGACGATGAGAGAAAGTGTGCACAAATTGGCTCCAATAAAGCAGATTTTGCGAATGAATAGAGACGGCTGAGATTTGCAGTGTGCAGACCACTTGGGAGGCAGCTAATTCCCAAGAGTCTTCCTTTGTACTGTGCACATTGTCATTCTTTTAAACAATCCAACGAATGACCGGAAGTTACTTTACAACTAAGCACTTAATACATTTTTAATAGCAATAAGCATAAGCAATTAAGTAATTAGCGTGTAAGTTTTTAAGCCTGCTTAAATTTTACGGCAGTAATGCACGAAATCCTTCATGACCTTTCTTGTTTTGTAATAAATTACATTAACCGATCTAAAAAATATTCAACTCTCTCGAACGATAATATTTATTGCTTAAAAAATCCGTAATTCTTTTTCGTTAAAATTCTGCTTAGATTTTAAACTCGAAACTAAATGAATCGTGAGTTATTGTTATTTTTTTGAGCTGTAGAACACAATAGAAAAATTTTTAATCCAAAGGTCTGCTGCGTGGCACATAATCCCTTCATTAACTTTTTTACAATGAAAATGTTCCAAGTTTCTCACGTCCTTGACTCTTTGCATGCGAATAAATGTTAATGAACTAATGTCATTTCAACGGTCAACGATGTCAGCTGGTTATTCTCCTTAATTTCTCATGACACTGTACTCATTCTTACCATTTAGATCAACATTGATAAAATGGCTATGTTGAACCATCGCTTAATTGACGTACGTACGTATGCACATATGTACGTATTACGTACGCAATTACGGAAAAAATATTTAGACACAATCAAAGATGCTTAATTATTCTATTTTATATATTGCACTCATTTGAGTCTTTATTTCTCGATAGAGTCAGTATTATCTGAAAACAATACAAGACTTTCCTTAATCAGCTCCCAATTACGTGGAAAAGTAAATGCACCAAAAAATACCAAAATTCCAGTCATGCAAGGACGCAGCCAAGGTTATTTGTTGGTAAAGATTTCTCAGAGAGCTGATGACTCGTGGTAAAAGTAAAAACTTGTTCGAATGATGATGCAACAAGATAAGTACAACATGGTTGGGAAATTTGCTCTTCTTCTTCTAAAACCATAATCCCAACCATAGAGTCAACAGAAGGTTATTTCAAATAGGGATGCTAATAATTTTGGGTTATGTTTCCAGTTTTTAAATGCAGCCTCTTCACTTATTGTCTTGTCTGTAAATATGTAGATACAAACAGAAAATTGTATAATTACAGATTAGGTTGAGGGCACAGGTTGAATGGGTAAGCAGAACAATAAGATGGAATGACTGAAGGAAATGTTTATCTCGTCCCACCTTTATTCGAGATGTATGCAAAGGTCTACTGAAGTAGAATCTGACAATGTGAGGGAGTAAATCAGAGGAAGGCACAAGATCATTTCCGAAGTTTCATTGTGTTCCACATACATACCATTCTCCCTCCGTGGTTCAACTGTGATTAATTTCTTTACATAAGTAAATGCGTCTAAGAAGCTATATTTAGTACGATTGTTGCTGATGAATAATGCAGGCCTCACATCGAAACAATTTGTTATTTAATTGGACAATTTATATTTAGAACAAAAGAAGTAATCAAATCCAGTGGGCTGTGCACACATTCGTATAATTTGGAATTGTTGTATTGTCAACGTGCGTTCTTTTCAAGAAATAAAATATTGCACAATTACGACCATTACAATTTGAAATTGATGGCCACAGACAAAATACGATAATGATTAAGGATCGTGGCATAATTTATTTGAAAGTCAATCTGCTTCTGCACGCAACAACATGTGAAATTGATACATGCAAGAAAAGATATGTACATATGTCTCTATACATATGTAGCTATAAGCCTGAGCATCTATCAGTACGTAGCTTATCTTATCTTAGAAGTTCTGATTGACACAGTGCTCCAATATAATGGTTGAATGCCACAGGGATGCAGTCCAAAATTATGCAGAGCTTTGACGTTGGGTTATATTGAAGAAAATTATTCCTATCGACGGAAAATCTACCTTGAAGTTGAGGTGATCCATTTTTGCAGATAGCAGGATATGCCAATTTTATCCTTGTCATGCTCAAAACCCTCCGGAATTGATCACTTACTCTTGCAACGCATCATAATAAATAAAGTACAACTCACCAACTATTACTATTGCGGAGAACAGGCTGAGTAGTCATTAATTTGTGAAATTGTATGCTCAGCACCACTTTACCTTCTTTGTCAACCACAACTGATGTTAAGTGGAGATAAGTATTTCGATTGATCTCGATCTCCACAAATTATTGACAGCACATTAATTACTTTGAAAATTGACAAAAATATTGAGTAATAATTTTTTCGACTTGTTTGACTTTTAATTTCTTCAAATTACATGCCGTGTTATGTGTATTGCATAATTGTCATGCAGAAATTGTAAGATGTAAAAACAGCAGGTTTTTTCGTTTTTTTCTGGTACACGTTGATGAGTAAGATTATTTAATTAGGGATCATTAAGCAGCGACCATTAGCAAAAGGCAGTGTTAATTTCTGTCGAGCGAGTTACACCAGAATACTGTTGACTCAAGTGCAAGATTTTGCAATGTGTGAGCTTACTTTCACTTTGACACCATTTGTCATTTCAATCACTCCACAACACGAAATCTTCATTGAGCAATTAACAAGAAACTGCAATGCAACTGAGGCATATGTACGGTCGACGTGCACAATGTGACAATTCACCACCTTGAAGGAATGCATTACCTCCCGCATTGAACAGCGTGTATCACACCACATTCCAGATGCTATAAATGCATAGATTAGGGCATGAAGTCTGTATTTGAGGCGAAAAATACAAATACCAAAGATAAATGACGGTCGAATTGGTCAACTACTACTCAGCGTACAGCAGAACTCTGCAGATTGCTTTATAATTTTGCGATGGCTTGTTGTGTGTGGTCATTTACTTTGTTTTTCTGTCATTTGCGTTAAAGGCCAGACAACATGAAAAATCTTTTCGCGTTGATGACACAGAATTACCAAGATTAACAACACGGTGCGTGATGACTGATGAGCACAACATGGAGTTAGATTTACGAGGTCCACTGACAAATTACCATTCTCAAAAAATTGGTGAGATTGGGGTTGAGAATATTACGCGTAAAAGTTTAACAATAATTGCCAACTTCATAGCTACTTCTTGTGACTAATAAATTGAGTTTATAAAATATTTTGAATCTCTTACATATTTATTTTTTGAAACCATTCCTACTACTGTTTTGGTCATTAGACACCTACTCCTCCACGTGTACAACATTAATTACTGCTGCATGTCGTGAGTAATTATGTAAAACCTAAAATCATGCACAACCACCTTGTAATCTTCAGTAGCAGAATAATTAGGTCGTATATAATTCTTTTGACCGATACAAATTATTTGACGTTAAGAAATACTACATGTGCAGGATTCTCTCTGTCGCAATAGTTCGGTTTTTGCTGGAGCTTCTGATCGACGTCCTTCATTAAACAAGCAAGTATTGGGCAATTCCCGTATTTACCGCACATGAATATGTACACATTCTACTGAATGCCAAAACCTTACTCGGAAATTTACCGCACATGAATATTCTTAAAATGTCATATCGGAGTAGCATCTCATTAAACTAACCAACTTGAAAAAAATCCCGTTTGTGGCAAATTATCTACAACACAGCGTCAAGTGAAGCTTTTGACGGAATAGGAACACACATGATGATCAGAGAATGGTGATAGCGGTCTTACAAAAAATCACAGAAAGGTCCATCCTAGACGGCTGTCAGAGTTGCGAGAAAAAATTAGTGTATTATGCACAACGCATATGTTCGTCATATAATATGTACGAAGAGCCCACGGGAAAACTTTTGATATCGACCGAAACTATTTATTTTGAGTAACGAAATTTTTATCAGCCTTACCTCCTCTAATCAAAGACTTATTACTAGTCAGCTTTTAGTTTAGCTAATTAATTTTAAACCCATCCGACAGTTACTAAGTACTATATGTGCATAGATACCTCTACAAATGCAAATACCCAAATACCAATTTTGCCGAAAGAGATCCACACAATCAATAAACCATTTTTGCCTTAAAAGAACACACTTGAACTAATATCATACATAATTTTACAACTGAATATATAAGGATGCAAATGAATATACTACGGACTAGATGAAAATTGCACGTTTATTCTCACCTATTTGAAATCAGAGAGGAGTGATCATTCAAGCTCAACGTGGAGGAACTGTTCTGGGCATCCGTTTTCGATGTGGAAGGCAGCGTTGCGTTTATCCCATTTTGATTGTTTTTGCTTTGGGGACCGTATGAGGACGACGATCCCCAAAATTTTTTTTTGAGACACAAAATTTTGACAGGTGTTTGACTGGCCTCTTGGACCAGTCAGTCAATCAATGGAACAGCTTAAATACGAGGGGACGAATTGATCAATAGATGAAAAATATCTTGATTTTTATAGAAACAACTGTTCCAGAATATGTAATAATTCTGTACTTAATTTATTAATAGTTGTGTTTCGACCTCAACTTTGCAACTTTCTCACAGTCACTGCTCGCCCTGGGCCAACTCACTCGTGTGTAAAATCCCGTTGTTCACGTTGTAAGAAACACCGCACAAGTCATAATTGAGACAAATTTTTGTCTTCCTTTTCGAGAACGAGTTTTGTCAAACGAAATGTTTATGTTGATGGGAGAATTCGTCATCCGTTTCTTTCACTCTGCTGATACCTTTTCATGTCACGGGCACAACAGGCATTCAACAATTCAGTTCAAAATGATGAACCAAGTTATCGTATATATTAAACTTTGTAAGAAAACACTAACATATATTCAAAACATGAGGAAAGGCACATTAATTTTCTAAAAGCTAGTGTTGATTGCTTATTAAAACAGCTATATAATGCTTCCCGTTCAGCCACCACACCTCCTCCTGCGTCGTCGTTACCTGTAAAATAATACCAGACATTGCATATTATTAGTTAGTTGAAACCATTGTCTCATCACGGGCTAAATAATTTACTTGGTCAGCTTGTTTAGCCCAGAAGAAGACATTCTTGCTGAAACACTTCCTTCCTACCATTCACAATTTCAATACTTGCAACAAACGACTATATTGTTACATAATTTGTCGACACTGAATGAGATAACGTTACTCTGAAAGTATAAGCACACACCTGTGGGGTTAATTAACAAGAGCTATACACTTTACAATAATAGCGGTTGGTATGTGAATTTAATATGAAGTTCAGTTATTCTTCCCATGAAAGATGGTGACGAACTGCATGAGCTGTTTGAATAACCAAATTTAGAACAAGGTTTGCTTCAATTTCGTGCTTTCACATTAAATGCAAACAAATGCAGCAGAGCTGTAAGATTGAAAGCTCCAGTAAAATTGAAACATGGTTAGTATCTGTTCTCTTATATATTTCGTTCTCGCTAATTCAACGGCATTGGAGTATGAGATAGGATGTACGGACATACATAAGTAATGCAGTTTCCCTGTGTAATAATCTCATGCAAACTGTGAGTACTACTGAAAATTCTAAAATTTGATTAATGTTGCCTGATTCATTTGACAGAATTTGACCTGAGAACCTAATCAACACGTATTTTAGCATCGCAATTTAAGAGACGCATTATTGTGTAATTCAGTGCAAGTACAGTAAATATCTGTGAATTAAAGACCAAAAACTAGAGTACATTTATTGGATTCAAGGCTTAATTCTATTGGATGACTATTGTATTTACTATCTTTTGTAAAGTAACTCCGGGTTTATAAAGAATCTGAATATCTGCGATATCTGACAAATATTAATGCGCCTCAACAAAATAATGTAAACGATACCACGTGCACATAACACTTAACTCTTTCTTCTGGTTATGCTCATAACTCTAACTTAGATTTCAATAATATTCAATTGAAACTGATGGTGGTACTCATATTTAGTTGTCCATCTCAAAGTGCAGTATTGCGCTTTACTGTATTTTTAGCGTAATACTTGTATAAGTACATACTACATACACGTTCTTGAAAGTATCGAAAGGAGTGCACACAAGTATACATATTTGTAAATACACAAGTCCCCATAATTTTAGCAAGACTACCGGAAGGAAATATAGATTTATACATACCTATATTACTATAACTAATGCTTTAATGAATGCGTTATGTAAAAGTTGCATTTTACTGTTGGTTAAACATATTATGGGCTTTAACAATTGATGGAAAAGTAATTAGTTAAAAACCAAATCCAATCCATAGCTTTCCACCTGAACCACACAGATTCCTCTTTGTGCACAAAATAATCCATTCTTTGATGCAAAGACGAATGAATCGACAGTTTCTATTTTCATGACGATCTTTGTTCATAATTTGCTTGTGATTGGGGAATACAAGTTTGCATAAGAAATTTAAAATTGTAATCTCAAGCGAAATACTTTCTAACAAACATCACCACTTAACATAATAAGTTGAGGGAAGGTGTTTAAGTATATAGAATTAATTCAAAGTAAAATGGTCGGAATCATGACCTGGCATTTATCAGGCTGCTTTTTTAGGCTTTACATGAACAATATTTTTGGAAAGATATTTGACAGCGGGTTAAATAATGTAATTCTGAAAGATAATTGTCTTTTTGTGAGGTAAAACGAAGAGTGGCATTGTTTTACTTGCCAAAAATTCAGGCAACGGGCAGCACAGATATACGTACAGACGTAAGTATAGAATTATAAACCTTTTATGTATTAATTTATAAAATGACTGTACCCCAACTTATTTTTACTACCGCTGACATAACACAGGTGCAACGCATACCCACATTTTGACTTGCATGTGTTCAAGCATATGTGGAGATAGACTATTACTCATTTTCAGCAAAAATGTTATCTTTCCGCTATGTTGATTTTGCAGAATTCTGGATAGACTCACATGCTAAGAGCACGGACTATGCATAGCCAATCCAGAATGTCTGCTAAATAAATAAACTGAATGATTCAATTAATCCAATGACACTAAACCAACGACCGAGTCATGAAAGCTACACCACACATAACCTCACAAGTGGGCATATTTGCAAAAAAACAGCATCTTACTGAAATATATTACTTCAACACTTCGCGTGTCAAACCATAACTGGAACACTGCCAAATTCCAGACGTAGTCTAATAAGCACTTGTAGTTGTCACTTACTAATTAATAACATGCTGGATAAAGGAGATAAATTGATATTTGAATTACGACTCATCTACCTCCATGTACTTCCAAGTGGTTATACGTACATACATACGTATTATGTACATAAATATGTATACATGTATGTATAAGTGTGAGTACTTTACTTGTTTTCATAACATAATATGTACAACGTAACTGCCTTAAATTTCGCAACCTCACAAGATCACATCACAACTTAAGATGTGCGAAAGTCTCTAGAATTTTTTAAGATGAAAATATATGAAGCGACGTATGTACGTATTACGTAGTATAAGTTTAAAAGTAGTATGGATAATCAAGAGTGACAGCAACCAATGTCATTTTCACTTACGTTTTAATTGATGAGCACAAAAGTTTACACCCAAAAACAAACACTGTAATTTCCTATGTTAACAATTTTGTAATACTTTTCACATCACTCCCTTTAGACAGAATTTGTTAATAAAATACTGTGTGCATCAGCCTCTGATGATTTCAGCTACATGATACCTCAAGGATTATGTAGCTCTCACAACTCCACCTGAGTCCACGAAAATTGTGTTACTTAATCCACCAACGGCAACACACACATTACACCGCCTCACCTGCATGATAGATTCTGCTGAAGACTTTCTTGTCATATGCACGATGAAATGAAACCACCCTTCCATACAATGTTGATGGTGTTGATAACAATAATCCAGTCCTTCTTGGTGGAATGACCATCCCATTGATATGCTGATCCCTAAGCTCACTCACCCCTCGTACTCGTACTCCTTCTCATCCAGTTTTCAGGTGAATTCCATCCATCCACTTTACCAGTATTTTCCAACAATGCTAACAACAACTTTCCATCGCTTCCATGAAGAGGTTGGAGTTTCTTTGAAATATTTTATTGCTCCGGGAATTGATGATCGTCTATCCAGGTCTGTTTCATGGCCAAAGTAGTTTGCCAAGAATTTTTCCCATTATTTTACTCCAATCTATATCCTTGTTTCTTTATGCAACTTTACATGCCACTGAACAAAGCGGAATTGCATTGTACATAATATACAGATGATCCCATAATACTCTCATCATGCAAACCCTTGCCTTGTGTGCTTGCTGCATATCAGTTGCATCTCCGTCTACGGATTTGTATATTGCATACGCAATTGATGAAAGCTGAGCAAAATAGAATGCTGCCATCAATTAACTTTAATGATTCATGAGTTCTATACGTATGTACATATGTACTTATGAATCTGAGCCACGGAAAGTTGATTTTTTACTCCTTAATCAAAAGTATAAGTTGTTTCGCCAAATTTTGAGCTAACTATCGATTAAACAAGATGAGAATTTTTGAAATAATGGGAATGGGAGTGAACCAAAAATGTCATTTTAATAAAGTAGCAGTTTCAAGAGATATTTTCTGCCTACGCCTAAAAACTTAACCCACTTAAAATTTTACAGCAAGTCGAATTGGCTCCACAATTCACAATGAGCGAGCTCACCAGGATGTGGACCACACTTTGTAACTGTTTACCTTTCGGTGAGCGAGTGGATTCCAATGGACGAGACTGTGTCATGCCAAGCTATAAATAAATGGTCAATTCTATAACGAGGTGCAGATGAAAAAATTCTATAGATAATCACGATCCCGTTATTCCCATGTTGCTGCATTTTGAGCTGCTTGAGTTTTGTTACCAGGATTGACTTACAATAATGCATGGTGGCAAATAGTACATAAACCCTGTACACACACACTTGTAATATCATTAGAGTTTTCTTTACAGCGAAATTTTTGAATTAAAAATTAAAAATGTATGTATCGTGGAATGCGTGCGTCACATCCGTCTAGGATTTACGATGCATAATTTGCTTGTAGGGTGAACAAGAACCCTTCTATTACGTAATCCAATTGTAGGCACACCAATAACAAACATTGAATTGCATTTTTAATTAAAATCAACTCCTGTATTTCAATATGTACATTGAGTTAAAATATTATCAAACAAGAAGTGATTAACTTTGATTAAATAACAACCCCGATGACTAAACGGATTGATCCACTTCCAAAATTAAATATAATAAAAATGTGAAAGGTTGATACAGAAGTATTTATTAGTACGCACATACATTTAATTGATTATCAGGCGTAAACCAAGTAAGTATGCATCAATAACGCAATTTTTCAGCTTTCAATTCATTCTTTGAAAAATTTAAGCCAGAAATTTTTTGCCAGAAATTACAATATTGGAGCAGATCAAGATATTTTATAATTTATAACTTTCACTCAACTACGACCTTCAACACAAAGGGTTTCAAAGCATGGAGTTGAAGGATTAAAGTTGGATGGACAAACAACATGCCTCGTAATGTAAACACCATCACTCAGGCACTACATTATCTATTGCCTTCAAAGCCATGATTTCTTTTTGCAGATATCACCATCATTATTGCCACCACTCGAGACATTCCACACACAAACTATACATAGAAGAAGACCAAAAAGTGTGAGCGAGAGAGAGACCAGTTTCATATCCCTGCTTCTACTCCTCTGAAAGTCTATGTAAATTTATTTATTGAGATGAATAATGCATCACAAAGCATTCTCATGACCATCCGGCATCCCTACGAAAACACTCACTCAGTGGAAACTCGGTTTCCTTCCATTTTGGTGGACTGAGGAGTCCTGAGTCTCACTCAAGCAACTCCATGTTGCTCGCCCGTTCAAAACGGAGGAAGAAAGTGGAGCAATGGATTTTGGATTGACGGAGAAATTCAACAAGCAGAGACTTAGCGAAGAAGCGATGTCCAGGGTATAATCTTGGAGCCTGGTTGCTGGAGACTCTGACCAGGCTGCAATCAGCAGCAGACAGATCGAGGGTTTGAAAAACTTGTTCTCTGGAGAAATTACTTTGTGATTTCAACATATGATTCGTTGCCTCACAGAGACCGCATTACGCAATGACGTGTTGGTAACAAAGCTCGAAGGAGTCTATGCATCCTTAACACGTAGATGGACTTACGCATTACTTTATTAATCACAAACACATTGATAAAATATAAAATACATTTATTGTTACTTGGCTTGGGGAGTAGAGGAAAAGCCCAATGTTGGTGGGTTGGGAAAACCTCTACTTGATCCAGATAGGCGTCCGAGATCGCCATTCGGCCACTTTTAAGATTCTGTAAATAATTTGACATACCATTTAAATATAAAATAATTATTCCAAACCTTGTGTCAACAAATGTTAATTATCTTTCACAAAAAGTAAAAGATTTCAAGTCAATTTGTACATCATTTTAGTTTTAGTTTTAGTGCTTAAAGAATTTATTGATGACGCTAACAGTTTGTTTTAATCTTTCAGAGCTTATTGCAAAATATCAATAAGAACTGATTGCATTTTCCCTGTAGACACTCAAAGAGATCGATTATCTCCTGAAACCAATCTTGTGAATGTGCAGGGATGGAACTTCGGGCAGACCTATAGAAAATTTGGTAACCCGCTAAGGGGGACATGTCGTCGATCTAGAAGACTGTTAATACTATGCTAGTCGACCAGTAAACCTCTTTGGTAGCACATTGTAACGACGGGTGAAAATACGGAGCATCATTCAAGTTCCCTCGAGTGTGTTGACTGTTGGAAAGAAAGAACCAATCTCCGTTTTGTGTGCGGGGGCCCGAAGCAAGCCACTGGTGGGCACATTCTAAAGGAGATTGTCAAGATTGGCTGCGTCAGATGTAAAGCATTCATTTTGCATTTTCTATTTTTTACGGCTTTCGTTTGATTGTGGTAACTCGTCCATTTTATTCACTTGCTCTACCTTGACTTTCCCCACCACAAAAATAGGCGCAGGCTAAAAACTGAGCGATTATTCACGGCTTATATACCGCGCAGTATGCATGCATAAGTTGGCCCTGGTTTAAATGGTTTTGAATGGAGGAGAGCATGCACCGTCAGCATTTGCATTCAGGAGGGCAGTTCACATTTGAACTTGCTGGGACGGAAAGAGGATAAGAGCCAGCTTGGTGTTTGCTGCTCTGCCGAGTTGAGACAATCAGCGAAGGAGAAAGCGAGGAGAAAGTGGGCTAAGATATACAGGAACGAGCTCAAACGACTTGTGAGTAAGGCACGAGTGAGCAACAGTGCAAGCGGTGGAGTTATGCAGTTGAAGGCTTCAGCCCAACTGCTGCGTCTCCAATTTGTAGTGCCGTGGTGGGCTTGCTTTTTACGTTTGAGCCTTAATGTTTCATGTACAGAGAGAAAGGTCCTATTGCTTGCTTATTTCTCTCCAATACATCCTCAAATGAACCCTCCACCCACACGAGCAACGTGACTCGAAGTGATAAAATTTATCCTCCCCTCGGTGACATCATTTACGCCGAGCCCTCTCCTCAGTATCATCCGTTTTCACAAACGGTTCTTTCATAGAGCACACAATTCTTTCTGAAATATTAGCACGGTTGTTGTCGAGCTCGTACACCATTTGATCCCTTTTCTCCCCATTTCACACTTCTTCCTCAATCGAATCATTCAGTTACACACACGATGAGAATTCAACCTAGATTCATCTTTCGACCTCCTCCTGTTGGGCATCGTGGTATTTTCCGTGTCGAATGGTCGAATAAAATCAAACCATTTGTTAGGAATTTAGACCGGAACAGCACGTATGCATGCTATTGATATGTGCAGATTGGACTCATGGATCTCGACAGAACGTTGCCGTTGAAACTCCAAAATCAAGTCCGTGAAAGAAAATTTGTGGAATGCTTCAACAGAGCGGCGTGATAGGAAATAGAATTCCACTCTTGCCCTGCTGAGATATAAAGTGCAGAGAAAATAGCTCTTCATAACTTCCAACCCGTTGCTGCTGCTGTTGCTGAGCATTCCCATACATATACATGGATACATACATACATATATACGTTCGTATTTCGGTTCGTTTGTGTCACTTTTATACTGCCTTCACTACAGAACGTAGAATATCCCATCATATAATGCAATATTAAGCTCTGCACCAAACCCGCATTTTGTACAACACACAGAGGAGCACAGCCCAACTGCGGCAAGGCTCCCATTGCGTTAGTTGTTTCGCATATGTACAAAACAAACCATGCAACATGGAACGAGAAGGTTTGCAAGTTCGGAGCAAATAATAATGGGCATACAACTCACACACATACCCAAGTTGCATTCCTCACTTTCTCCAGTTATCTAGTTAACACTCTAGAATGCTGGAGAGAGTGTCTGATCAATTTATTGCTACACTTCTCCTTGGGTCAAAAGTCACGGTCGAATATTCTCTCATCATCGTTAAGAGGAGCAGCAGCAGTGGCAGCAGAAAAAGACGGGACATCAGGTTGGCTGGAGTGGTTGAATGGACTTTCACTCAATGGGAGGAAGAATAAGAAAAGGCTGAGATCAGGCTGACTGAACATCAGCCGCACGTGCTTTCTCCCAACACGGCTGCCCCATTTCTCTCTTTCTCTATTTCTCTCTCCGATATTGGAGATAGCTGTTGGCGTGGAGGAGGCGGCGGTGGTGGTGGAAGGGACTTCGATCGCAAGAGCCTGAGTGAGCAGAAGTGGTCGTGGTGGGTAGTTGGGAGAGGCGGCGGGCAGAGTTAGTCTGGTGTGGCTTCTGAATCCAGTCGGACCTCGTCCGAAGCAACAGTTACACATCGTGCTCAACTAACTGGGGTACCCCCTCAACTCGGGATTCCCACCAATCTCACCGATAGACAACAGTACTTAAAATAATTGCGCCCAATTTGCATATCCAACGAAATACGAATAACAGGCATTACATTCCGGTTGACATTGCAATTTGCTAATCCACTTGTGGTGCATTAAACTAGATTAGCAGTGCATTCCAATCGATGCTACAAGAATTAAATCACAGGTGAGTGAGTCATTGTCTGGCATTTACATTACAACAACTCGGGGAAAGTAAGCACGCAACATCATGAAAAAAACTCTGCAGTGTCCCGTGTTTTCTCCTCGTAGTACTCGCAATCAGTCAGTAGCATCTGCTGTGGTACGTACAAAGCAGTAAGCTTGGATTATAATTGAGCTTCTCATTGTCCGGAAAAGTTGGCCAGAAATTAAGTTTTTGATAAACTACATCTAATTCCTCTATGATAATCAAGTCTGATCAGTTGAGATTTGGGATCCAAGTAACAAATTTAGATAAACAGCCAGCGGGTGAATTGCGGCGTGCGCATTAAGAAATTACATTACTGTGTAATATGTTCATTTTATGCAGTACTCCAATGGCGAAATAGATTAAAGTTCTACTTCTGACCTATAACATACCCAAGACGAGAGTGCTTTTGTATCGTGTAATCGAAAACATCTCGTCTCATGTTACTCTGCACTACAGCAACCACATTTTCGTTTGTATGTATTTCCTTCACTTCCTTTGATCCACAGTAAACCACGAGAGGGAAAGGAGAAGATGCACACCGTAGCGACGTAGATGTTTCCAATTGTTTATGTATTGCTTCAAGAAGATTTACAAGTTTTAATATATTTGATTTTTTCTGTCTAGGAGAACTATTCATGGCATCATGTTTCTAATTTCTCATCTCGTCCTAATATCATGTCCTTAGTTGACATTATACTTATAAATATGAGCCAGCCCATATATTCTGAACAAATATATTGCCTTCTCCAAATACCAAGTAAATAATAAATGTGTGCTCCCAGATTATTCATCTAAAAAATTGCGAGCAAAATAATAATGGGAGTAAAATACTTTGCCAGGATCCGAGTGATATATCCGGAATATTTATCCAGCCATATGTATGACAGTGAAGGATAAGCTTATTTGTGCACCCTGATAGATAGATGTCCAACAAGCCGTGAGCATTATTGATCGTTCAAATTCCCTGAGTAACGCAAGGAACTAAGTTGATGAGTTTCTGAAAATATTTAGTCATAAGATTTTGCATAGCATTATATATTATAAAGACGATAGCCCTTCTCCTGATGCTGGAAAAGACTCCACCCCGGTCAATATTTGACTGGTGGTGACCATTCATATCTTAAAATTCGGTCGTAACATTATCAGTTTACTAATTTCATCAAAATGGTCAATCCTTTTTTGAGCTATCGAAAGACAGATGGGCATAACGAGTTCATATTTAAGCCCTAATTCGGGCTAAAATGAACGGACAAAGGTAGAGCTTAGGAGCATAGCTGATGTAATTAATACGACATGGCGAATTCACTGACAATGCATGTTTCAAATTTCAGCTACTCTGTCATCTACAAAAAGGCTTACGTTTTAAGTTAGCATGACTCGTCACTTAGAATGGAGTAATCCCCGGCATTAAAAGTCAGGAAGCATGGTGGGTGGGAGAATATAAAAAAGCTTTTATTATTTGCCCGTCCAGTCCATTACCGTTGCTTTCTTCTCGCTCAGTCACGGTGCTTCATGACCTGGATGGAGCAGAGATACAGATCCTGATCCTGAAAATGATCGGAACCGGGGGGTTACAAATGTGCCGTGAAACAATACTTGGAGCGAATTGGAGAACTCTAGCAATACATTAGTACAATATGAGCTCAGAATTTTCCACACGTGCCTGCACAGACTTTTCGAGGCGATTACCGAGAATTCTTTTGACTGTGAGTTGAGTTGACTTGTGGGTCTAGTTTCGTAAATAAAGAAACAGAGACAAGAAGTGATTGCAGGCGGAGGATTTAGCAATATTTGTTCAGCCTTAGAGGTGTCCAGGGGTGAAGGAAGGAGAGATTAGATTTAGAATAAAAGGATAACAATGACATTGTTTAGCCTGTCTTGGCCTCATTTGATTTTGATTGTCATTTCTCCATCTTCATCCATCCGACTCACTGCAGGGTAGGTGGATATGCTGAAGCCTAAAAGTTATCTCGAGCCAGGCTGACACGTAGGCCGAGAGGGCGTAAGATTTCCCCAGTCGTGGGGGAGCGATCAATAGTGAAACGCGAATTTCCGCTCTCGTTGCCTTTCTCCTTTAAATTCCTGGCTTATTTTGACTACAAGTACTGCCTGCCCCACTACCAAATTTTATGTTAACATTTCGCCACTGTTTATTCTGTCTCCTGGTTTTACAAACGAACGCTTATATGCTACGCCCACTTTCCCTCTTTTCCCCTTCGTTTTTGATAAATATGCAATCGACGTAGCCCGTTGTTTCCGTTTATCGTTACAAACAAAATTCTACGAATTTTTCACTCCATCAGCAAACTTTTTCAATTCTCAGGAAGCATACAAAATCCACTAGATTGTATTCTCTAATATGGCTTTTAGATTTTGCACATGACAGGAATTCCATTACTGCTTCACTAACTTTCCCTTTTATGCACGTACGACAAGCAGTTTTCCATGTGTGTAGTACATACACTGGGTCTTTGATTGCATGCAAAAAATTGCAAATCAATATCTGCAACCGCCACAAAATTGATATTTATACATCGCAAGTTCCAGTAAACAAACCCATTTTAATTTGATGTGAGATTTGTATGCCGTGCAGAAAAAGGATGATTTTAATGGGCATGTTTTATTCGCAGCCCACGTTCGAACCGAGGAGTCCAGCAGCAGTGAGTCCAGAGTCCTTATGTCGATATGTGGGAAACCATCGAGATTGAAATGGCAGCGACATTACACTGGTTGCCGGGCATAATGTGAGGTGGATGTTGCAGATATTCTTCTTGTGCAGCAGCCATGAGGTGAGAGAGTGAAAATAGAACAAAAGGGAATGCCATGGTTTAGCAGCTCACCCAGTTGCATCCACCCGTCGTTCCTCGTTGCCGTGTGACACTTGGCATTTGGAGAAAGTTACCTGTGCGGATTGTACCAAGAAAAAGTGGGGCTCGGTATTGTTATGCCGTGCCGGTAATGGTAGTCTTCCTTCGTATAATCAAGAGTAGCTGTATCTTCACACACCCACCATGAAGAAAGTAGTGGCTGAGAAAATCCAGCAATTCCTGCCTTCCAACCGAGAAACCTTCCGCCAGCAGAGTTTGATAGTCTTCAATAAGCTGATCAGAACCAAGAACCTCGCATCACTCCAAGAAGATCCCATACACGGTGGATTAGGGGGCGGGAAGGAGCCTGGGTCTCTCCAAGTAAGACAAGCTTTGCTCAAATTTCCTGTACGTATGTATTAACAATGTGTGTGGGTGGACTATTTATTATGAAGATGAGTACTATGAGTAAAAGTTTTTGTGCATGTAATTTTTCTCACTGTAAAAACTACATAATTATTTATTGGATTTGGACCAAATTGGGGTCTGTTTTCCCAAAAATTTAGTTAAGAAGACAAGAAATAGAATGGAATTAGGTAATGATCTGTCGGCTTATCAAATATTTTTCTTCTCAGTTGATCAAAAACAGTATGGCACAGAAAAGTTGGGTTTGCAGATTGCAGAAAGTTTCTCCGTGCTCATTACGGCTGTGGTTGAAATGGTCAGGCGGGGGAGTTGGAGAAAGTTGACTTTCTCTCTGCTTGTTAGCTTAGTGAAAGTCCATTGGGAAAGCAAACGGTGAACAGCTTATGGAGAAGGCAAACAAATCGTCGAGTCTTATCTGACTAGCAAATGAACTGTATAGTGCACTGGGCAATACTCTGTATGTGTGTTGTACTTGGGGGAGAGTGAAAAACAATCATACTGCACTATGTACATAACTTGTGTAAAATGTTAGCATGGATCCAATTCAAGGCTTATTTTCCTATTCTAAGTGAACAATGCCGTGGTTTTCGTCTGATCGTTGATGTGGTTTATTTATTGTGGTTCCCAGTCTAGAGTTTAACTCATTTATTTTCAACCAGTTCCAGCATTATGATAAAGCTCCCTACAAATATAAATATTTGCCAACATTTCAATCGCCATGCTATGCAAACAAGTAATGGAGAATATATATATACTCAAGTACATATTCTGCCATTTCTGCATTTCTTCTCTTGAACAAGTGGTTGATTACACTGTGATATACTTGCATATTACACGCCATTATCTGAAGCAGTGGGTAGCGTCGTAACGCCATTTTTAATAAGCATAAGTGTCCTTCCAGTGAGGATGACATAATTGAAAGTGCCTTGAAGGCATCTCAAGAAAATGAGGATGAAAGTCGACGGAACACGAGATCCACTCTCGATTAGATGAGATTTTTTAATGAAACTTCCACTTGTGCAATCCAAGTACGTGGGTGAAAGTGGTTGGATGTGAGAAAGGGAAGCTATGGAGATGTAGCCTAGAGATGGGTAAGACTCGGCTGAGTGCTGCTTCAAAGATTCCAGCCTATTAGCAGTACATCTCAGTCTCATCTGCAGTCATTTCTTCGCTCCGGCTTCTCTGTGGAAAACGGATGAAAATGAGACCAACTTTTGTAGGCCGACAACTTGTCTGATGCATTCCGAATGGGAAATAACTCGTAAAAAGTTGGTTGGAAAATGAAATCATTAATAATATTCCCAGAACACACATAATCATCCATTAAAAGAAAATGACATGAAAGAAAACACATCCAGACGAATGTTTTGAGGTAATGTTTGTGTGTAATGCAAATTATTTCCCATTTTCATTTATACGATTCCCATTTCTTGTGTGGTCCCTTTTGGAAATTCTTTTAATCATTGTCGATCCCTTAAAAGCTATATTTAAACACTGTCTGTGAGCCAAAAAATGAAGTATTGTCTGCTTGGTTAACTGAAATACATAAGGACAGAAGTACATAGGTTTTGTCGTTCAACCCTTTTTAAAAGTACAACGCGATAATAGCAGGTCAATGTTGATTTGTTCAGGATAAACAATAAGCAGGTACTCACATTATTTTGCAATTAATTTTGACGACATGATGCAAAACTAGTTCAAATACCTTTGTGCATAAATTCAACTGGTGAAATCGCTTACAATACGTACATAAGTATGTGTATATAGTTTGTATATACATGGAAGGTAAAGCACAACTGCCTACGTGCAGATAAAGGAGGATTGCGAGGATGGGGATGCAATCACAAATGGCAGAAACCTTTCAGAGCTTTCAAATATGAATAATAAACAATCAGACCGTCGTCTGCTATCGAAAAGAGAAGAAAATACTTTTGTTCACTAGAAATTCAATTAGAGTGAGAATCTGGCTGAATTTTAATAAATCAAAGGCACTCAAGCACTGAAAGAGATCTTCTCAGCCCTCTTCCTTCCTCTTTGATTCTGAGTATTTAAACAGCAATGAACTGGAGGATGGAGCAGAACGAGAGATTAATTACAGACTCGTTCACCGTCACCATTTCCTGTTAAATTGAAGTTGGTGCTTTCCAGTGAAAGTACAAAATGCCAGTCAGTCCTCCCCTTGTCGAATGCACACCCGTACGCTTCTCAGCAAGATGATTCTGACAAAAGTCAACTGGGTCATAATCGAATATCGTATTTAATTCTACTTACGAACGATGCAGCTGGGCGAGAACCCAGGAGAGAATGTCAAATGGCTCTAGAACAGCTTACAAAGCTCTTCATCATTTCGATCTACGATCTAAATCGTACCAAAATAAGTTGAACGTTGAAGAAAAGTAATCATCACGAGTTAAATTTATTACTTTCTCAAACCTGTGACGGGCATACTGAAAGATTTTTTATTCACACCAGCTCTGCTTTCTCCATTTCTTTCATCCACAAAGTAAAAACTGGTCTGTGTGCTATCCTTATCATTTGTATGATGGGTTTGCGTAATATGTAAAACTTGCACAAGTATAAATGCTTGTTAAAAATATGTATAGAGAGAGCACCCCCAATGGATAATGAATGTACAATGTTTAATGGTGAGATGATCCCTGAGATTATCCACGTCTGCACTCACTTTGGTTCTCGAAAGTATTTATATTAAGCCTGCCCCATAAAATTCCCTCACCATGAGTCTCAGAATCGTAATTTTAATATTTGAAGCTGCATTTGAATAGAAAAATGGGGAAATACATTCACGCGGAGAACTTTTCTTCGTGTGGTCGTGCAAATTGTGAAGGTAATCGTGCAAGAAAAAGATCCATATGGTCGCTATTTTCTGTCCAGACTGTTGAATTTTATGGCTGGTTTTCTTGGTTCACTTCATGTTATGGTAATATTTTCTACACTGCATCATATCAAATCAAATCTGTCAAATAAATCGATTTACAATTTCCGTCGGAAGCAAGACCGTAAATCATCATTTGTACACACCGTCGCTTTCACCGTTTTTGCCTCTTCTGTGCTGATTACTTAGCTGCTGCCACAAGTAAATTAATCCTCTCTCACGCATCGCCCAATCTTTGGAAACTTTTATCACTTTGTGTGCTACCTTATTGAATTGATGTGTCTTTCACCTCCACCACTTGTTACGCCTTTGGCCATCATTTCTGGTGTTCGTAAGCTGGCTTTGAGTGGATATAAACACCTGCACATCAATCCATATTACCACATCGAAGGTGTATAGAAATGTACGCAAATTCTGGATGATTCTGATCGTAACTGTCCGTCAAAGGGATACGGTGTACTTTATTTTAGCCTGAAGGGGTGGATTCATGTTACATTTTGTTTGTTTTTTGGGGGATAATACAAAGTAATTGGAAACTGTTGAAAATCACACTTGTTAATCCAAAATTGTTGTTAGTAATTCATTTTAACAATATTGATACATGAAATCCATTCGTCAGATGTACAGAAATTAACTTTTATCAACATCTTTGTTCTTCAATTTTCTCGTTTTGAGGTTAGGGATTTAAATTGCACGACTGCCGTGAAGTTAGCTTTTTGTGAATTTTTCTTTGTAATTTTGGTTTAATTTAACTCTGCGATGCAGTACTTTACTCATGATAATAAACACAGAAATAAATCTAGCCACATATTCTGTTATTCTTTGGATAGAAATGTCTTACTACGCTGGACTTGACGAGCCTGGTAAGTACCTCCGATAAAATTTTTACATAAGTGATCCACAAATTCGATTCAATTTCAAACTATTATTTTCAAACTTTCACTTTTACGTTCGCTTTCAGGGGGTGGGGAGTTGCGTTGGGACCGGCATGTACCTTGTTGCAGGAATGGTCGCCAAAAATATTGCAGGCCCAGGAGTAATATTTTCGTTCATCATAGCAGCAGTTGCCTCAATTTTTTCTGGTATGCTAAATATATTCGATTTTCTTTCACGCTTTCGCTTAATTCGACAATTTAAGAATTATGAGTGAATGTAGTTTAATGAATCCAAATGCCACATACATAATATGAAATTAATCATTTTTTCGTGACGTAGGAGCTTGCTATGCGGAGTTTGGTGTTAGGTAACTCTTCAAAATTAAAGAAAACAATTCAAAAATAAGAAGTATGTAATTTATTCGAAGAAACAATTGCATTCATCAATTTGTTTCAAAGGGTGCCGAAAACGACAGGCTCGGCTTATGTGTATTCCTACGTGACCGTCGGAGAGTTTATTGCTTTTGTCATTGGGTGGAACTTGGTGTTGGAATATCTAATTGGCACCTCTGCGTGTGCTTGTGCCCTAAGCGCCTGTTTTGATGCGATTAGCAGTGGAGCAATTACTGAAAAATTGGCAAACTCTATCGGCACATTTCATGGTCGCCCACCAGATGTGCTTGCTTTCTTCATAACAGTGTTAATGATGATGGTCATGATTGCGGGTAAGGATTGAAACACTCAAGGGGAATGTTTTGTACTATCAACTCACTGTGATGTTGGGTATAAGAAAACAACTATCTGGGAGTATAATGGAATTTCCAACTCAGAGTAAAATTAGATTTTTGGCGTGGATTTGAATGAGTGAAAGCGCTACTTTCTCCTTTTTGGGCACCTTTGAGTGGGTGTGGTGGGCGCAAATGTGGCCATTGCATCAAATCACTTGGGGCTTGCTTATTCATGAGACACTATAACATATCCAAAGGGCATCGAAATCCGCGAGTTGATAGTACACAACCTCCCCTCCTCAGATTATAAGATTACCTTATTACGTATTTGCTAAATAAGAAGTAAAATATTTCTGTACAGGAGTGCAAAAATCAGTGATCTTCAATAATATTCTCAACGCTATAAATTTTTCTGCATGGGTATTTGTGATGGGTGAGTTTGAGCTACAGCAGGGAAGCGCTCTGTCAAGTGTGCAACAACTATTAAATTACTGTCATATATTCTATTGGTAGTGGCTGGATTATTTTACGTTGATTTCTCAAACTGGACAGACTATGGTGGCGTTCTTCCGTATGGCTGGTCTGGGGTAAGCTTTTTTATTCATGTTCACTTTCAATTTATTTTCTTGTCCATCGCTTTCACTAATGGTACTACACATGTCAGGACGTATGGATCCGTGTTTGAGAATTTTGAAATAATGTTACTCGAAGCTTTGATTTCCTCGAGGTAGAAAAGAATTTTCCGACCGCTACCGTTATGTTAACATTGGTTTTAGCGGAGAAAGTACATATGTGCAGAACAACTCATACGTGTCCCTCAGCTTGATCCATTTTGAAGAATGGGGTAATGACCAACTGGTTATGGGACATAAAATGGAGACATAAAACTCTTGTGGGAGAAAGGATAGGGGAGAAAGTAACCGATTTCAAATATCTTGATTATTCAACTCCGTTTTCTCAATTCTTTTGATCGCTGTTCACTTTCTCTCTTCTCCGCTTTCACTTTGAGACGTGGGTAAGTAATAATGCCAGCAGTAGAAGAAAATATGAGCTCGCTTTTCTGCTGAGGCACCATGCAGAATGAGCGCAGATGAACTTTAATCTAGTCAGCGTCATTGTAAGAGAAAGAAGATTGTGCTTTTATGAGAACAATTGGATTCAGTCAATTCTACAAACCTAATTTTAGGAGAAGAGGATAAAGTTTCTGAACGCCGACGAATTGAATAAAATAAGTTTTGTGCTCTAGAATTTCATATGATATTGCCTATGTTTTGTGTTTCAGGTATTAAAGGGCTCGAGGTAATACGAATGCTAAGAGATTTGAATTGTATGTTAAATGCCAAACTAGTTGTTGATTGGATTTTCAATATATTTAGCGTCTGCTTCTATGCGTTTATTGGCTTTGATATAATTGCCACGACAGGAGAAGAGGCGACCAACCCAAAAAAATCTATTCCAACTGCAATCGTCGCGAGTTTATTGGTTATCGTAACCGCTTACGTAACCTCATCTGCAATGCTGACTCTAGTCGGTAAGACTTCCATCGCTCATCCGCCTCGACGTCCACTATTCTTTTGTCGTATGCATGAGATTACATGGGCAAATTTCCCATCATGCATAAACCCTGTTTCACTTTTGATGTGGCCACGTCCAAATAGAATTTCAGTCGAATGTTACGTAAATAACTTTAGCGCCAGAAATTCCGGCCCCATCATTTGCGAAATGCAGTTTAATAAATAATGTTGTTAATGTCATTTGCAGTGCCATATGACGAAGTAGCACAAGAATCAGCGTTGGTCGAAATGTTTGGTCAAGTTGGAGGTACATATTACGTAGGCTTTTTTACTCGATTTAATTGTGAAAGTATGAACCTTGCACAACTGATCATGCTTTATAACTCTTTCCTCAGCTTATAGATGCCAATTTGTGGTCGCAATTGGGGCCTTGGCAGGGCTGACCGTCTCCATGTTTGGTTCAATGTTTCCCATGCCTCGTATCGTCTATGCGATGGTATGTTTTAACTTATATAGGATTAGCTAATTATATAGTCAAACTGGTAAAATAATCAAACAATAACGAATAAATGCAAATGTTTTTTTTATATTTTTAGGCAAAAGATGGTCTAATTTTTACGTAAGTTGGATATTGAAACATTGGTGAACATATTTTTGTCATCAACTACCTTTTGACTATTTTCTAGTTGGCTATCCGAAATCTGGAGTTTGACAGGTATTGAAATTCTGTGACTAAATTTATACAAAGCGAAAGGTTTTCACTGGAATTCAACATGATTTGAAACAGGGACGCCAGCCGTTGCCACAGTTGTGCTCGGACTTATGGCTGCTCTCGCTGCTTTGATTATACAGTTGGAGGTACTTGTCGAGATGATGAGCATCGGTAAACACTTTTCCATTTTCAAAAATGCCTTTTTGTTTTGGACACTTACTTGCTAGTAGCGGCGATGGAGAAAGTTCTTATGAATGCATGCACATGAGTATAGCCTCGGAAACACGATAACTTGAAAACGACTGCTTTCACTTTAGGAACATTATTGGCGTACACTTTAGTAGCCAGTTGCGTTTTGCTGTTGAGGTATCAGCCGACGTCGACGACATTAGTTGACCTTTTGCCTGAGTCCATCAGAACCCCACTGCCAGGGTCGCCCATGGCAGGTTCTCCGACAGAAGGTGGAACTCCCACCAAAGACTATGGAGCATCCCTCTTTCTCCAAAATCAAAACGACCTTTGGGGAGACAAACCCAATGGTCCCCAAGCCTCCAGCCAGCAGCAGCGACTGAGTCTCTCTCTGGGCATGGGAACAAACCCGTTCTCCTCGAGTAGTACTCAACCCTCGGTCGGAGGGCCTGTGCTGGTTCGGAAAGTAACCCGCAATTCTCCCGATTCGGATGACACTGACACCATCGGAGACGCTGAGACGGACGACGCTTTTCTAATGTCAGACAGAAATGAATCCAGATATTACGGTTCAGTCCATGCAGGCGGACCTCCCAAATTAAGTCGTTGGGAAAAACAAATGAGGTGAAGACTGAAAAATTGTATAGAGTTTTAACCAGCAAGTTGTTTAGAGAGTAAATGCAGAGATGTTCACTTTTTCTTTTCAGATTATTACAATACATGTTTCCTAAACTTTTTCCCTGGCAAGAACCTGGACCATGTACTGAAGAAAGTGGACGTCTGGTCACCAAACTGGCTGGCCTCATGTTTCTACAAATTGTTTGCTTTGACCTTCTATTGGTGGCTTACGTAGGAAGCAATGGCTTTTGGGGAAGTGTGGCTGGCTTCCTTTTGCTCGCGTTATTTGCAGGCATCATGTATTGTCTTTTAACAATTTCAAGGAAGCCGCAAAACAAGTATGTGAAATTAATGATAAATAAATATTTAATAAAGAGCTAATTAAGTTATGCAATCAATTATATTTCAGTAAACAACTGCTTTTTATGACGCCCGCACTTCCGTTCGTGCCGGCTGTTGCTGTGATGGTCAATTTTTACTTAATTTTAAAGTTATCAATTTTAACTCTGGTTAGATTCACAATTTGGATGACCTTAGGTACGTACTAACTAGTCGAATTTCTATTTCCAACATTTTACCAACCATGTCTGAAGTCTGAATTATACGTTATCTGGATATATTTTCAGGGTTGATAATGTATTTTAAATACGGGATCAAAAATAGTGCACTAGAAATAAAAGAAGATGCAGGTGTGGAGCTAACGGTGGCTGGAAGTCCTTCAGCCGATTCTATCAGGGGCATCAAAACCACAAGTCTCAATCGATAAGCGTGCAAAAAATGAAAACTTTTCTATAAATTCAAATTTACAAAGATTTCCATTAAAAATCGAAGTTGTTAATTTAATTACTTTATATTCTACTCTTAAAGTTCAATTTCGTTGGCCCAGCTCGATGTAGAACTCATTGTGTCAAAATTTGAATTCGTTTGTCTTCCTTTCTAAATAAGTATATTTCCATCTTTTCGGTTTATCTTTATGTATGGATATTCTATTCTGCGGTCCACATTTGTACGGATTTTATATTGTTCGGCCTACAAATTTTTTTACATATTTACATTTTAATTGAGCTTCAGAGAATACAGCCAATGTATTTAATGAATTGCTGTATTAAATGAAATAGTACACGGAGATCAGCGAGAGAGAATATGAGATGGCTAACAAAATACATCGAGATAAATACTTATTAGCTGCCACAATTAGACCAAAGTAGTAAATTAAATATTAGCGAGTTCTCTACTAAAAGATAGTTTCCGACTGTTGTACAGAGAGTGAATCAAGATACAAAACTCACTTTTGTTTATTTTTCTACAGCTTTATTTTTCGTTTGTGAATTTTATAAATTGCTTCAATGGGTAGCCCATTAGTTTGTCTAACGAGGTGCAATCGCTTTTTCTACGCCATTATCACCTTTGACACTTTTTTGGAGTGATTTTGTTCTACCCGTTTTGAAAAGTTTTCCAAAACCCACTTAGCGCCCGAGCCGTCAGCTTGAAAATCTCTGCTTCAAGTACTCAAATCTAAAATAATCCATCCGAATAATGTCATGCGACTCGCCAAGAGTAATTGCAGTTAAAAATTTATTTCTGGAAAATAAGTTTTCATGCAGTTATCGCGAATTTGCTTCGAAAAACGTGATGTAAGACGGCGTGGGGGCGTACAGCGGGTCCTCCTCCGCGTTAATATATTTAGGTCAAAGTGACTGATCCTAAAAACTATTGCCTGACTCACCCCCAACATTTTGCATACTTTTCTGTGGTGACGGATGTTCCTTATTGATGAAATTTGCAATCTAGTATAACTCATGCTCGATCCTGACTGATCTTGAACGCCACTTTGGTGGAGGTGGAACTCCAGCCAATGATTTCTGCCTCTTTATGATAGTGCCATTTAATACAATGGAAACATGGCTTTGACTGGTACTTGAATTCAGTTGTCGCCAGTTTCTTAAAAAAAATTTATGGTACAATTCATCTTTGGAAAACTCTTTTACGGCTACCTCGCACTCCGTGGGGGGAGTGGGGGCATGTTGCTGCACAGAACTAAGAGTGATTTTGCAAACTGTTCCTTGACTATCTGGGTACGACACGTGCAAATTTCAATAATCCCAAGTGTCTCTAACACTTGTTATCTCAAAAATAAAAGTGAGTTTTGTATCTTGATTCACGCTCTGTACATATAATAAGTCATATTTATTGTAATTTCAAGTTCTATGTGATGTGAAAGGAATATGTTGATTGTTCCATAGTGATACTGTTTCATCGTCTTTACTTTCACTTTCAAATACATAATGTTCCGTTGAGTTCCCTCATTAACTAGGATAATATACTCCACAAAGAAAGTGACGTTGATCGTTGCATAATATAATGATCATTATTACCTCGTTTTAACGATACGTTCCTCTAAAACCAAAGACTTTACAAATATTTTGCCACCATTATGTGTTATTTACATATCAAAACCAATTTCAATATTAACAATCAAATTCAGCAATCATTAATTTGTGTGGTCCACTGCGATTTACAGAAGAGAAGCACAAATCTCATATGAAATAATTTGACCAAAAATACATATTTACGACTGAGTTAGAACTTTTGTTAATACATTGTTGTCAACTCTGTTGATTGTAAACTTAAAAGGCTGGATGATATTTCCGAGTTGATAATCGTATGTTATAGATTTAGAAAAATTCAAATGTCTGTCCGTTTGTAAAACTTTCTCTACACTTCAACAGTTAAGCTAATTCTAAGTACACATGTGTGAAGCACAACCTACTCATCTCTGGCACTGTCAATTATGTATATTAATTTTTATTATACTGTAAACTATGTATGTAGCTCGTTCAAAATTTAAAAATTCTATGATAAGCCTTTTCCATATGTGTGCATACGTAAAGTAAAATATGTAAGCAAACTCCTTTTGCCAAGACATGTATTTATTAGTCCTCCAAATATAGATGACATATTAGTAGCACTATGTAAAGTAGCGCAATTAGCAGGTAGTCCTACAGTAGAATGAAGTTCAACTAGTTTAAGCTCTATAAATTAGTGAAAAATATTATAATAAAGAAATGCAACATCGAATTGAAAAGACACCTAAATTCTCATGTCACATGATCCAAAAATGCATAACTTTGAGACTTTATTTCGCGAATATACATTAGAGCTCCTTCCAAAAATTTGATATCATGCTCTTGTTTCTTAACACAAATAACTACAATTTTGGAGAGCAGCTTATTTGCTTGTCGACGAATGACTTAGACAGTAAAAAAGACAGTACAGTAAAAAGGCTAATAATTGTCTCCTTAGAACACTAGCGTTTTCTGATATGCTTATGTACATAAATGAACGATATATGTATACATATAAACAGGTATTCAAATTGTCCGTTTCAACCAACTTTCTTGCCATATATGCTTTTCTTGGTAATTAAGTCTGCTTATTAAGCACACATCAGCATACAGATTGCTTTTTGCTCCATTTTCAGGTTTTTCACTTGGGAGGGGGGAGGGTTGCTCGAGGATTAATTCGATTTTTCTACTATGTTTAATCGAATCCACACTAACAAGGGAACATACCGAGGTGTCCAACGAGTTAAGGGTCGACACCTATACCAAAATGACCACAATACATGACTTATTAAACAAACTGAAGGAATTTCCGTGTAAAATTCACATTTCGTCACGTTGTGACGATATTTGTGACGAGCGCATGACCATCGGGTTGCCAGAGAGGGAGAGGTCGACCGCTGAACGATCAGGTCGACCACAGAGAAGCGTCGTCGTCTTCACGTCCTCTTTAGAGATTTCAAATTTCAAATAACTTACACACCTCTAATTTTTTTCAAAATTTCTTCAAAATTTCGAAACGTTTTAAAAATTTCAATTTTTTTAGAAATTTCGAAATTTCTTCAAAATTTCAAAAAGTTTTTCAAAATATCTTCAAAATTAAAAAATGTTTTCAAAATTTCTTCAAAATTTCTTCACAATTTCAAAATGTTTTCAAAATTTGAAAGAATTTGAAATCTCTGAAGACGACGAAGCTTCTCTGTGTTCGACCTGATTGTTTAGTGGTCGACCTATCCCGCTGGCAACCCGATAGTCATGCGCTCGTCACAAATATCGTCACAACGTGACGAAAAGTGAATTTTACACGGAAATTCCTTCAGTTTGTTTAATAAGTCATGTATTGTGGTCATTTTGGTATAGGTGTCGACCCTTAACTCGTTGGACACCTCGGTATGTTCCCTTGTAAGAGAGTTCGAAAAGTCGTTTACTCTGTCTTAACATTGTGTCCATTTAGAGTGAAAATATGTATGTTATTGGATTTGGAAAAAAAATAAGATGAGCGCTCATCGTCGTTGAAACTTTATAAGGCTAGTCCAAAATTATGAAAAACTTTTAAAATAAATAAATATTTTATTTTATTTGTATTAAGCACAAACTTAAAGGAAAAAGCGGGTTTCGTGCATATATCTATGTATGCAAACGCTTAAAAAAACTGAGCCTAGAATTAATGAAATTAGGGTCAATGTGGTCTGATTTTATTTTGAATTGTTGAGCAAAAACAATGCATAATTCCACCCACATACATATTTGCCCAACATATCTTTACTCTAATGTAGACAATTCTCCAACTACGGATTTTTTTAATATTTTAAAAATTAGGTTCAAGTTTAATCTAATTTAGAACCTAACCTGTACCTTTGTAGCAACATCAATTAATCCATGAGCAATCCCCAAGTGAAGAAACCTTGCGTCTGCTGATTGTGATTATCTTGGATGAGAAAAGTAAACGAAGCTCTGGGCATCTACTTGGAAAACTACTTGAATCATTCCCTACAAATATTAGTAATGCATATGTATTGTACGAATAAAGGTACATACATACATAATACATAGCTACATAATACATATCTACGTAGCCACAACTATGCCCTCTGAAAAATTTACCATTTTGCCACATTCATTTCTCAACTCTCATCATCGCGAATGAATAAGTAAAGTCTCAGCTTTCTTCACATTCATCCACGTCAACTGATTTGCATAGAAGTAAGTACAATCTGCCGGGACAATTCGTCGTTCGTTAGAAACCTGCTTATCTGTGTGGCACTTTCCTCTGGCACGGCGATATTTCAACCAAGCGGCACAACCATACTATAAACTTTCAGAATTTAAATTGAACTTCTGCGTAAATGGTCCTACATTTCGAAATGACGTACTTATCTATGTATGCATAGTCGTTTTGCATGATAACACGTTGTTTATGGAAATACGTGCCCTTACTCCGTTTTCATGCTTCCCTGTGGGGTTGCCCTTAGCACTTGTAACTCAGGGTATACATATATTCAAATTATTCAGAACCGTTTCCTACGACTGTCCCGAGTTCGCACGTAACACATTCAACCACAATCATCATTCACAATGTAGTTGGATCACAAAGTCCCTGTGCTGAGGAGAGGCAGGCATAATTTTGATGCTTCAAGACACCAAATTATCTAAAAACCTGTGTCCTTCCCTTTAAATTAACAAGTGGAGGGGTATGGGGCAAAAGAGGACCTTAGGTTAGCGATTGTAGAGCCTTCCTTCTTAGCACGGGAACTTTGTGATCCTACTTTAGCTTATCTTGAGGAAGGGCTAGCAATGAGATATGAGGACCACATCCGAAAGTTGCAGTGCATTTAGTAAGTTATGCAGCACAAATAGTAGAGTTTCACAACATATACCTGAATATTCCACTACATATCTATCCAATTGTAATAGATCCACCCGTGGGATGGTAGTTGACTATGCACTACTTCTTGCATTACGAGAAGTGAAATGTATTAGCAGAAGAAAGTTGTGATCTGACTTTTCTTGTCGTCACCGCGGCACATTTATTTGATGACTGCCAGTTTGTCTTTATTTCAAAAGTTTTATTAACCTTGCGAGCTATTTGAAGGTCAAAGTGAAAAACAGGAAAATTCCAAATGTGTAGTGTAACACGTATATAACTAAATAAGTTGATCTGTGAAAATCAAGTGACGTGTTGAATTTAGTACAAATAAGTCATCGTCGCTGGAATGCAGATAGTGGGAGGAAGCGCAAATATTTGTGCTCTAAAATAGAAAGGAGAGCTTTCATGTCATTGCATACATTGCATATACACAAAATATCACTCACCCTCAGTTTTTCCATGTACTTCTAAAGTTATGCACACATTTAGTTATACGAAACATATCCAGAACTGGCATTTTGCATCAGATTTCACCTAAATCTAAATCTTAAAACTTTAGTAAAAAAATAATTCGCCACGTAAAGCGACTCTTGACTCATAAATATTTTCTATGAATCGAGTTGAAAAGTTAAACTGAGCGAGTAGTAAACTCTGAATTGTAAAGGAGTACAACTTTCCCGATCAGCATAGAAGTGAGCATGTTCTCTCGTAGAATTCTAATTAATCTCGCAGTAATATAGACATGTAGGGGTTACACATACAGATATCGTATAACCACGTGGGTGCATATATCCCTTACAATTGTTGTAAAGTTGAACAAAAGTAAAACAAGTGAAAACTGTAGAATGTTCGTTGAAGCGTTGTTGAAAGAGAAAGTTGGGCAGACTGCGGGTGAAAATCGCAAAGAAGAGAAATATATAAAGTAATATCCTTCCCGTATTTAATCAGCACTACCATCATCATCGCAGAACCAACTCCATCGGGAGTTGATAAAATTAGGAGGACAGCATCCATGATTGGTAGGCCCACACCTCTGCCTTCTTGCTAGAAGATGATGAGAGGATGCTGATGAGCAAGGAAGGTTTTCTCGCTAATTATGACCAAAAGCGCTCTCTAATTCAATGCAATTATGACTTTTGCTACCATCTACCCTTCGCATCTAATTTCCAATGTTGAACGATGGTGGTAGCCGTCAGCCTGTCTGCTGGTGGAGGTAAAGTTTGAGAGGGAGAAAGTTGTTCAGAAGGATGGACAGTCTCAGATACAGTCTCTAATTTCATGTTCATGGAACACAATGAGAAGATGAACAATACAAACTTTTATACACAGAGTACTCTCGTGAATTCTTGTATATGCTGCTCCAAACAATGGTAAATAAGGATGGGGAAGGGTATGTAGAAGTAGTTTGCCCGGCGTTTGCGGCAGGTAGTGGCACCACTACTGATTCACGAGAGATTTCTCCTCCCTTGCATCCACGAGAGAGAAAGTGTCGGTTTGAATTTGGGACAGTCTTGTCGTTAGTGAAGATAATTAAATCACTGTCTTTCAAATTAAGTCAGGTTGAGCATTATCTTAATTCCCATGCCCAGAAATAACACTATTCGTCTCATGGTCCACAGCATCACTCTTGACATGCTTTCTCCATGTTCATGGTCTGTAAACGTGGGGTTAGTTTAGTTTTACTATTTTTCGCCATAGTCGGGGCGGAAGTGATCTATAGTTGCAAATCAAGTAGATGAAATCGAAAGTCTCAAATTACCAATAATTCAGTTACTGGTAGTGCGATAATGCACACACGTTTGATACTAAATATATAGCAACGAAATGCAACAGTGTGCAAATAACTTTTTACAGAGAAAAGTCAATCAGCAGAAGTAAACAAATGTGTTTATATTCAAGCTTTGTTTTATTTCAGAGAATTTTCACATTAATCATTATAACTGTATGTTTATTTATATGCATGTAAGTATGTATGTATATAAGGTTTGACATTAAATAGGTACACATGTTTCATATAATATGATAATGCAATGCAGCGATATTGATTAGAATCTTGTATCGGGATTTAGATAAGTCATCACTATTTGAAGCAGAGAGAGAGAGCAAAGATTTCCATATCTCATCGTCATCATGATTGATATGTAACTAAAATCTCAAAAATTTCATCATTGTCGCCCATTAAAATTATATATTGTACACATAACACTTTATACGATAAAATATCCCTTAGAATAACTTTGTACTCTTGCATTCACTCAATCAGTCACATTTTAGCTATACGTTCATTCCTTTAATTTTACACTAAACATTTACCTTTCATTAAACTGTATCAACTGCTAATAATAACTAAAGATGGGTACTAGTATAAAATCTCTATTCTAAAAAGTTTTCATGCAGCACCGACAGTTATGCATAATTTGAATAAGCTGTTGAGGTGATATCATTAACAACAATCAATGTTCTTAATATCTTCTGTCACAAAATAACCAGGAGACACTGCTGAACAATATCCAGACACAAAAAAAATCTATGGATGTCGTCTTGGGGTCTAATTTTGTCTACTGGTAGGGACGCTGACGTACGTAATACTTCTAAATTGACAAGGGGATGCTGAATGAGAATCCTAAGACCTTGGTTTTTACAGAAACTTTGGTAAAAACTTGTGCAGTGTACAAGCTTAAACAGAGTCTGGGTTCCTGTCCCAAGTCAGTAGCTGCAAACTGGCGGATTTGCTCAGCTCCTGTCCTGAGGAACCGTAAGTCGTCATTGCGGTAGCAACCTGCTGTCCAGCCACCTGAATTGATCGTGTGTACAGTTTCAAAATCTGGCAGTTACAACAGACCGCGAGGGCGATGAGGATTCCCTGGATAGCTTGACCACACGAATACACAATGAACGCCAAGTTAGAACCAAAAATGACGCTAGCAGCGCCTGCCATTATGATAAGGGTCAGGAAAACCAGAATTCGCACGAACAGCATCAGTTGAAGCTTCCTCCTTCTTGTCAATTTCTCCTGTGCCTGAAAGAAAAATAGCGACACAATTTATTTAGGAGGGGATCAATCGAGGAGGAATTGGTTGTGGTGACGCAAGGAGGAATTTTTTCATGTCTTATTCGTCCTCTTCAACCAAATGATAGCCGCTTGCTTCCCAAATTTACGTTTGGGAAGCAGCTGTCACTTTGTTGGAGTAAGAATTTTTTGAACAAGCTAGCATTTCTCAAATCTTTATTGGCCAAATAAAAGAACAAGGTGCTTGCAGACAGAGAGAGAAAGAGGTTTCGATATTGTTGGAACAAATCACGTCAATCTGACAGTCGACATTCGATTTCCCAGAAGCAACGTGGAAAATATATCTCTTGTTTCCTTATAATTGGATCGATGGAACTGAAAAGTTGTTTTTTCTTCTTCGTGTTGTTAGTGCAAACTTGCTGGGAATGCCATGATACATAATACAAACATTTATCTTCAGATTTTCTCCCAATCGTTTCCCAAGAAAGCAAGACAAAAGCAAACAGCTGCAAGCGATCTTGTGTTTATGAGACCATTATTTTCTCAACTGTTTAGACGTTTCACTACTCACTTTTGGTTCTTCACCTTCCTAAATAACTCACCGACTGTCTTGTTGACTTGGTGCCTACTTTCCCCCTGCCAGATATGTATCTCTCTACGTTAGATTAATCAAAAGTTGAAAACCGTGGGTGGAAAACTGTAAACTTTTGCAAATGCCGTATCTATCATGAGATGCCATTCCCTTTTGAGAAGATGAGTCGTAGTTTGCAAACTATTAATATGTGTATGGCTGCCATGCCTTGGAGGAGAGTGCAGAAACATTTGGTCAACATTTCACAAAATTAAATTACTTCTTTTGCACAAAGGTGATTATGGTTTCGTTCCTTGCAAACCTCAAAAACAATTTAACAAATGAGTTATTCTCACGAGAGATGAAGAAGAAGCGAGAGGAGAAAGCAATTTCTCAGATAAAACAATCATCTTCAGCTCTATGATCAATATGTTGAATGCATGGGATGTGGTTTTATGGAGGAGCTGCTTTCTCCAGCAGCAGCGAAATAGTGGAGAAGAAGTCCAAGGTCAGATCTCAATTATAAGTTATTGGTACTCCCCTCACGTATTGCGTGCGTATCAAACTGCTCTTTCTCCTCTTTTCCGGATCTTATCAATTCCGCCGAGTTGGAGAAAGGGGTGGTCCGAGGGGAGCATCGAGAGAAGATGAGTTTTGGTGAGTTTCTAGTGGTGCTGGTTGGGAGAGAATCTGGATTATTTCGTTTCAATTACCATGTGCATGTGGGCTGCCCAAGTGAGGATAATAAGGCTTACTTTCTCATCCTATTTTCCTCCACTCACTCACTCACTCACCCGTTGGGTACTGGACACTGCTTTACCAAGCTAATTGCATAGTCCTGTCCAATGTTATGGTGGCTAGAGCTAAATCCGAGAAGCGAGATGGAAATCGACCTCAGCCAGCAGCAGCATATCAGCGCTTTCTCTCTTCACAGAAATCCATCTCATTTCTGAACGATCATGCACGCTTCAGAGAAAACTCGATTATGTGGTTAGACCTTGGATGAGATAAACAGAGGAAAACTGGAAGGAAAATTATATTCAAACAGCGTCGTGTCTATGTATGTGTGTTCATTTACTTCAGCTCAACAGCCAATTATCTGCCAGTATTTGCTGCCTGGTGCCAATAAACTACACGGTTTCAGTATTAATTTTATTTCCGACGCAGGAGCGATAGTTGTATAACCTTAACTCGTTTAAAACTTTCTAGGTGGTACGGCGTAATTATTACGTATCATTAGTAATGACTAAGGGCACATTTGTTCCTGGTGAAAGTGTGTAGTTTCTGGTAAGCCATGAAATAATAAATAAGGATCGATAACTTCAAGTTTGGCTTGTCGGTACTCTGTGGCAACCCCATCAAAAATCTCTCGAGTGTGAAATAATCGTTGTGCTAACGTTTTCCTAGAACAAACTCGATCATAAGTGGAAACAATGTGACACGGAAGAGCTAGAAAGCTAAATACAGAGCCCATTCAGTAACGACGATTGCAAAATGCGGCTGGTCAGTCGGTCCATGGGTTGATACCAATATTAACTACAGGGCAATAATACGATGCTAACCCCAAATTTAAAATTGGGAATGTATAGCCATGCAATAAGCGCTTTCAATTTGTAAAATTGAAAAGTGCAGTTAACCCAGAAAAGCGTCGTAAAACTCCCATTATTTAGATGGATGGGTTTACCGAAGAACATAAAGCAATATGAACATCCTAAAAAGTACCTTCTTTGACGGGGCAAATGCAGCTGCCCATCGTATGGCCATCGCTCCTCGTACAATGTAGTAAATCGTGACAGCCAGTATGATCCAGTACGGGAGGACAAACGCCGTAAAAAAACTTCGATTAGACGTAAACCAGCAATTGTGGCGTCGAAGTTGAGTGGCTCCACTTTCCCCAATTCCGTCGTAGTCCTGCAACAATCGATTAAAGTCATCAACAAACCAGTAGTGACAGTTTCCATCCACTGGAAAAAATAGACTTAGTTCTGCATACTGCCTGCTTCAGCATGAACTTGACAGAAAAGCTTTGAATTAGAGTTTATAGTTTAATATTTAGCTCTATGTAATGGATCAGAGATGCCGTCTTGTCTCGCTAAGATTTTGGATACACCAATCTTATTACTAAATATACTCTGACATTGGCTAAAGTACATTTTAGACCGTTTTAGATGGCCTTATAAAATTGCCTTGATGTCTGTCTGTCTGTCCGTCTATCTATAAACACGATAGACGGACAATCGTTTATAATTTGGAAAGTAATTCAATTACTTGAGCAGCTTTGTTAACCGAACAAATTAGAATTGCTAATTTGTAATTTTGCTTGATAATTGTCAATTAGTAATTCGATGTGTATTATTTTTCTGTCAAAAGCAATTGAAATGTGACGTGAAATTTTCTAAAGCGAAAAAAGCATTTGTTGACCTGCATATATGATTTGTTGTAGAACATTAAATTGTTTTAATTGATGGGCTAAAAATTTCACCAGACTATTTGTAATCCCAATTTCAGCTTCCACTACCAAATTTCACATTATCTCCTCACCTTAGAATTGTGAATTTTCGTAACAAACTTGTGCTTAAAGCAAAGTGGTGTATGAATTGTGTTTGTAACAAGATTTTGTTAAATAGCTATTTTACAATTGTGAGTTTTGCCTTGGGAAATCTTCTTTGAGGGATTCTATCTGGGTGACTGTGTTTCAAGAAAAATGTCTGCAAAAATATATTTCTTGAGCCCAACATTACGCAGAATCAATAAAGCCATCTTAAAGGCCCTACGAAGTCGCTTGCAATAAGTTTTTAACATAAAGAATCGTTTCTCCTGGAATATGTATGTGATAGAGATTCATGGTATGCGTATGTACTCGGGTATTGTTGGCAACATTTTTCCTGCCATGTTCCCAACTCGCAATCTTATACAACTTTGAATTTGATTGAGCATCCAAGTCCATTTTCAAATTGCTTCTTCCAACGTATGTACGTTGCAGAGTGGAATTGGCACAGAATAATGATGTATCTGTGGCGTTTATTGTTACCTGGATGAATACAGCACAGGCGAGGAGCAGAGCTGGAAGACCCCACCCAAGAAGAGAGTACCTAACAGTCAAAATTAAATATAGCATCCATAATAACATAATAAAATTATTTACTCTGGTGCTGCATATGAAGATGCATCACAGTCTCGAGGCGCACTTACTTGAGGAAGCTGGAGAGGAGCGAGGGGGGTGGACAATCTATCATTCCAACCTGGCTTTTCACCGTACGATACAAGTCATGAGTGGCTGCCAACAACCAGGAAACCACGGTGAGTCGCGAGTAGTGGAGAGCTAAGGCCAAGCTCACGCATAAATCCGCTGCCTGCAATATAACAGCAACAAAGGGGTTACCACTTTCTCCTTAAATGCATCCAGAAGCGGCGTATGAGAGGGATCGAGAGGGGATATTTGTATGAAAACTAAAGGGAGAGCAGGAGAAATCGAAAGCCATCCACTTTCGGAGATGGATGGCCTCAAATAAATCAGTCTCAATTGTGGTCAAGGTGGTTGATTGAAAGAGAAGAAGTGCTGAAAGGACGGCTGAACCACGAGACACCTGCGCCACGCCACTCGAGGTCATCTCATTCATTCATCCGTGTCACACAAAGTTTACATTTATTTATTGGCCACGAAATGGAAAGGGGGAATGCGAGAGCGTATGGTTTAAGATGATGCCATTTATGCTACCATCAATTTTTGCGACGATAAATAAGAAGTTGTGTATTACAGCACTTCTTCATATGAGCATTGCCCTTACGATTCGTTGATTTTAACGAACGTGTTAAAAATACATCAGTTTTCCAACATTTCAAAGTGTAAACAAACAGGATGACCACATCGTCACACATTTCCAACTATTCTGAAACTCAAAGTTTGCCGTGAACATGAAATCATGGGTGAAAGTAAAAAGAAATATGTATGTTTGTTTTCGGAATCATGGACAATGTTCATGCAATGTTCAAATTGGGGTTCCTGAAGCACTTCTCGTTAGCACCACATCTGCCTCGTTCCCACCAGCTTCTTTATTTTTTCTTGTCAGGAGACTGAAAACTAAACGTTTTCTTTGCTCATGAACAATTGAGTGTTTTCTTTATAAACTGTTTTTCTCTGCCATTTTGTTAATTTCATCTGTTGAAGCGAATCAGGCTTGAGAATTAGAATTATTCTATCACATAATAATACAGGAGAAGAGATTCATCTCTCTAGAATCTTAAAATAATATTAAGAATAAAATGATAACCATTTTAGAAAAACATCGTATTTACCAATGCGACGGGATTTAATTATTGCATAATTCAGTTCAGTTTTGGAAGAAGTAAGTAGATTTATTTAAATACTTTGGGTGTAGTAAAGATTTTAGTTCGATAGGCAAAATTTAAATTATCAGTTCAGCTATAAATACATGAATGAGAGGCAATCTGTAATGGAAAATGAACCACTTTAAGAAGTTGCGAAATCCTGCAATTTATATCGAGACATAAGACATCAAAAGCGTCATTGCCGAAAAAATCGAAATACCACTTTCCTCAAAGATCTTTCTTTTTATCTACTTCAATTTGGAAAAGGCTTAAACAAACACCACTCGAACCTCTTAAAAATTTCTTTGGCAAAATCATTTATCTTTTGAAGAAAACTCTAGTTTGATACAAACGTGTGCAGACCTGAGCCCAAGTGCTTAAAATTTGATTGGTGTTTATCTTCATATACGGATGAAGTGCAAGTATATTTGTTTAACATTATTTATGCAAATTGTGGAGCCATGTATTGAACAAGTTTGAAAAACTACCATAAAATTAAACATGTTTGCGATAAATAAGCACAGAAAGATATCTCGTTTCGGAAGGAGTTCATTTTTTCTAGAAGTTTTTGGGAGTGAAAGGAAACCAGAGTCGAGAAAAGATTCCAACTTCAAAGAAGGAAAGATTCTACTGCTGCCTGAGAACTTTTCATACAAATAAACACACAATGTAACGTTGCCTTCTGATCACAGCGAAATGAAGACTTTGGGTTGTGAAAATATTTACTCAAGCGAACCGAAGAAAAGCAAGGACACACTCGGGACTCACAATGGCCAGTTTCATTTACCAGACTGTTGGATTAAAAACCAAACAAAGGATTAAGGTCCAATTTCTATTTTTATTATAATAACGCATGTCGAAAGTAATAAGGACTCTGATAAAAAATAATGAGAGTTTTTGCGCTGTTGGAAATTTTTGGAAGGAATTTTCTATATGCAAATTTTCTGCAATGGTGAATCCCAAAAAAGTTGAATCTTAAATGTCCAATTTATTCTTGCAGATGAAAACAGGCAACGTAATGAAAAGAGAAAGCTATACACCGAGTTGATTATAAAGTTGAATGGGCTTATTGTGGCAAAGTTTTCATTATTATTCAAATTTGAGACGACGCAGAAAAACTGAGAAGCAATGTGATTTAAAATTTTAATTTTCTCATTAACTTTAATTCCAGTCTGTTGTCAGTGAATAATTGATTGTTGAGACTGCTGTGTGGAAAGTAGGGCAATTTTGAGATGAAAGCGTATCCTTTATTGCATGGCATAAAATTGAAATAGTAATTTCAGCTCTTTTCTCCTCATTGTTTTCTGTATTTATATATGTAACTATATATTACTTCCGAGAATCGCATCCCACCGGGACAAGAACAAGGAAGGAAGGAAAGTTTTGAACAAGACTGACGTTAAAATCTCCTTGAATGACATATTATGTACACTTCAAAGGCGTTGGTCACTTGAGAATTGTATAAGAAATGCATCCACAGGGAAAAGTCATCATGGAGCCGCCAAAAAAGCAAAACTTATTACACACCAGCCGTCCAGAACCTTTCAACTAAATATCATTATGTCTTTCTTTCAACGTGTTCAAGTTGTCTAATTATGCGAAGCAGAAATATGCTTTTATAACTGCTCTCTCGTAAAATGTCAAAACTAATGCTTTCATATAAACTAAGGATGGTATGTATAAGGGAAGGTGTGACGTAGGTGTGAATTTTGTGTTATACTGTAGCGTATCTGATAATACACAAAATCTAAAGACGTATTTGAGAAACATGTGGAAACAGCAGCCTCGTGCATAGTCTAAAAGTATCTAAAAGTCTAGGGGCTCTAACTAATGAACTACCAAGTGTTGGGCCAATAAATTTGATTATCTGCCAAAGTACTACCGTCTTACTCAATTTACTTTACGCTCTATTCTTACCATCGAATAATGATAGGTGACATATCGCACAAAAGCTTGACGCTGGGCAACGATAACGAAAATGGCGAGGAATCCTCGTAATTTTCATCCTTCCGAATAATCAGACTAGAGGAAACGCCTTGTTGCTGCTACACAAATATTAGAGGTGATACATGATACTCAAATTTGCACCCCAGGCACGCCCGTCGCAACAATGCCAACAATGCGACTGGAATATGTGCAAAGAAGTGGCTAATGACAGCTGAGACTTTTGGCAAAGTTTTCGTGATTTTCGATAACGTTGCTCCTTTCAGTCACTTTGTGTCTCTACAACTTTTTCGGAGTCAACAGCACAGGTACAAAGGCGAAATAAAACAAGCACACCAACAAACCTGAACTCCACCAGCTCCGACGACATAAAGTAATTGGGTAAGGAATAACGAAGCCAAGAGGTTCATCAAGGTCGTCCCAGCCACACTCCGCAGGTCCGAGAACAAACTGCAACAATGGTAAATCAATTTAGTAACATTCAGCAAAAATATATCTCATGCTCCATTTTACCTGCATACTCTGAACATGTACAAACTGCTTCAATAATTTCACAACTTCTGTGATTATTGTTTCTTGTATACATACATAAGCAAGACGTGTGTGGTGAAAGCAAATGAAAATAAAACTACATTTAAAAAACAGCATTCTTCGGTGAGGGTGCGACTAAAAACTTTTAAACAAGAGCATTGAACAAATTTTAAAATTTAATGAAATACAAATATTAACGCATGCATACCCTGGGAGACTAATTTAGTAGGGCCGCATACACACCCACTGCGGGACTAATTTGGTATACCAAGCGTCCACTGGGGGATTAAATAAGTATACCAAACGTCCACACCCACTGGGGTATTACTTTAGTATACCACGCATCCACCCACAGGAGAATTATCAACTTTTAAGATTTGATAATTGCATATTATTTTATGCATTTAAGTTCACAAATCACTAAAAATAATTAAATAAATAAATTTTGAAAAACAAACTTAGGTGAAGGACGCGCTTAAAATATTAAAACAAGAAGCATTACAAAATGTCATAATATCGTTTAATATTTATTAACCTTTACTTCACCGTGGGCCCAACTAATACAGGAGAAAAGCTATACTTTCAGGCATTTGGAACAATTATTCGAAATACGTAGTATTTGTATATTAAGCTTGCAAGATGTGATTGGTTATCTTTCAATAAATCGCGACACCTGTTATAGAGGAAATTTGTTCATGTTCTGGCATATTTTAGTAACTCTCCCTGTAACGGTGCACTTATTTGTTAATCAAGTCGTTAGTTTAGTTACATTTATTGTTAATTATTATGAAAAAGTTGGGCCCACTGTGAAGTAAAAGTTAATAAATATTAAACGATATTATGACATTTTGTAATGCTTCTTGTTTTAATATTTTAAGCGCGTCCTTCACCTAAGTTTGTTTTTTAAAATTTATTTATTTAAATGTAGTTTTATTTTCTGGTTTTTGGGTTGGAATTTTTTTGTTGGTTACCAATAGCAATAAGATAGGTAAGGTGCAATTATCATATGCGATGAAGCAGCTTAAACGGCTGCAGATACCTTCATCAAAAGTTTCTCATTTTTCAACCGATTTTGCTCGAACGTATCTTAAATGGTGCGTAATCAGTGCCCGCACAATAAAATCAATATCCGACATGATCATTGTATGGTAAAATTGAATTTCCAGTTCATTTGAAAGTTTCAAAGGTCCTAAAATTCTTGTAATACTAGAGTTTTGCAAAAAAAAAATTGAAAAGACACTAGATTTCGTGATTGTCTGATTTTTTTGTTTCAACAATTTTTCACTAAATTCAACCGTTCGAGCTGTAGCGTTGACAGAAGTTTTAGGACCCTGTCTTGAAAGCATACCTTGGCTTCGCCGTAACCATGTGCTTTTCTGTCGTGAGGGTAGCCCTTGGTTACTTTCCTCACCTCAGAATAAAATGCATATATTTGACATTTGATGGTAAATCTTGTAGAATATTATAGGTTGTGGTTTTCCTATCTTTTTAAATATTTGCCTTTCCTCGCCTCAGAGTATGAAGAATTCCGAAGTAAAATAATTAAGATAGAAATACGTCTAATATTTCCTGTTATAAATAACAAAGTCAAACTTAACTTTATTCGGCAATTAATATTAATTCACGGCTAATCAGTCTACCTTTTTAAATTAAGTACATTCGCGTGATGCTTTGTTGATCACCTCTTTACGCTGCATGGAAGTCTTGTCCGATAAGACAAAAAGGGGTCATTTTAATTCGAGAAAACTAAATAAGTCAAGTAGTTAATGAAAAAACAACTAAGCTGATTTTGGCAGAATGAAAAAGTTCGATCTTTTTGAAAGGGTTACGTACGTATAACTAAAAACACACGCAACTCAGCTTACGAATGTTACGGACTATGAGAAACAATAAGACTTCGGACTCCAAGGTTGTTGGGACTATTAATAATCCGTGACTGGTAGAACCGCCATAAGAAATAATACGGGAGATAAACTGACAACAGAATAACCTACAGGTCGCTGCCGCCTTCTTTAGCCCGAGTCAGGTTTTATGGAATTAGTACAATTTTCTCTGCTTTATAACATTTTATTCTTAGTTATGTAGTCAAATATCGACATTACTCCGAATATCAACCCTAATATTCTGCATGAACGACTCACACGACCTATTTTACCCTCAAATGTCAACCACTTGACCGATCGTGCCCATCTTCGAACTTGATTTCTCATTTTCCCCATAGTTGTAGAAAAAAGTCCAATCGACTTATATTGCAAGGACGGACATGACGGGTTCATAAGCCCCGACTCGGGCTGAAAAGTTACTCACTTAAGTACATCGCATGTTTGAGTTGTTTTGTTCGTATAGTTCTTTACACATTTAAGGATCTTGTGGTCTCAGCTTGTTTCACTCAATAAGAAGAACAGGTTGAAAAACAGAGGATGCGACTCAAGTTTGTTTCTCAACTCCCCCTCATTCGTTAACCTGCACAAAAGAACCAATTTCTTCAACGCGAACTTTAATTCTACCACAAAACCCACAATTTATTTACGTCAACCTCACGGGCAAAACTGAAAATAAATCCGCAAAATCCTCCATCAAGGAGGACTTTTTGCTAACGCGATGAATACTTCAGCCCTATATTCAGCCATTTTTGGGATTAAGAAAGTTTATGCTGCCGACGACCAAAGTTGACTTGAGAGTCCCGACTATATTTGCGAAAAAAGTTAGAATACGTCAACGGTGGGTCCTTTAATTTTGCGTCAAGAGTAGAAGCATAAAATGCAAGGAATATAGATTACGTAAATATGTAATATAGAGAATTTCCTTGCTTTATGAATAATGATATCGTCAAAAAACTCAGATTAAATGTTGCAACGGCGGATTTTTATGTTCAACAATGACACGGGGAGACATTTTTCATTCTGTGGTCAACCAACATCATATCATACCAGAAGACGTACAATAACTTTTTATTAAACCTGCATGAATGAGAGCTGTGAAATTTAATCTAAAGTTTAGGAACCTTCCCGTTCATTGTACGCAGGGCCCAGATGTGATGTGGTCGACCCTCCTGTTGACCATAGAACTGAATTGAAATGGAAAGAGCAACACATATCAACGACAAAAAATTCAATCTCCAAAAGTTCCTCGACTGTACCAAATATCTCAGATTTATTCTTCATGGAACTATCCAAGTGATGGCATCAATTTTACGAGTGAGATTCCAGATGAGATGAGAACACAGACGCACAGAGAGAAAAGGCAACCTTAGGAAAGACGTTTTGCTAAAGTGAAAGCTGTTTCCGTTATATTGACTCTGATGGCTTAGACGAATCTAGAAATTCAGCCCATTTCAGTCTGACCTTTGGGTCACATAACATGCCATAATGGGCCGTGTACGACGGTCTGGTTTTACCACAAGCACCACCAACTGAAAACCACGGCACTACACTGGCAACGCTATGGTTTGGATCAAGCCATTTCATAAAATCTGGAGTCTCTGCTGTAGCCATGCTGCAAACTTGAGTCATTTCATCGAGGGTGGAATGAAACACCTGTGCTCACCTTAAATCCAATAATACTTACAAGTGGAGAAAGCGTTTTTACTTTTACCCTCATAAGGACACGTACATATACAAGATATCCTTCAAGCCTTTACCCATATAGGAACGTATATTTAGCTATAATTTCGGCAAACACAGGGCTATTTCAAATGATGCTCTGGTCTGAGAGCATTGAATGGTTGAGGAAGTGACACTTTCCTTGATAGGATTTGGTCAATGTGTGGGACAACTTTGACGCTACTGCTGCCAGTTCCCACTTGATCGTGGTAGCAGCAGATGGGTTCTGAACTTGCCCTTTTTATCTTTTTATGTCGCAGGACCATCACCAGAGGAGAGCTAGACGAGAGGTCTTTAGGTGAAGCTCTTTGAAAAATTGCTTGTCGTAAAACTTTCTGCTTAATGATACTTGATAATGCTCAATAAACTTGATTTCCTCTTCGCAAGCAAAAATCTAACTGGAAAGTGGAGAGGTAAAAGCCAGGCTGTAGACACAAGAGTGCTGATGAAATTGAACTCCGTTTAGTGCCTGGGTACATATTTATAGTTACGACAGTCAAGAATCCATTACACGAGAAAATTAAGTAGTACACACGTACATACCTAGAGCTACTGTTATCCAAGTAAGGATTTGGAGTATGGTGCTAATGAGTTTGTTAGGAAAAATCAGAGAGAAAGGAAGGAAGAGATCCACTTTCTGATTACATCTTGAGTACTTTCGCTACACATTTCAAGGAGGACGAATTTTAGTTGTTATGTTGACAATCATAGTCATCCTTCCAAGACCGACTCACCTTTACTGTAGTCACATTCGCAATTAACCTAGAGTGTAGAAAATGCTTCTACATGAGAATAATTCAAGGGTTGACGACTAAGTCAATAATACGCTTTTACTTACAGTAAATATGTAAGAGCACATACCTACCATTTAAGATGGCAGGCGTGTTTTTTATTCCATATAGAATAAACTACGAAAATGCAAATTAAAGTATGTACATAGAATGATATATTTAGTATGCATAACATACAAAATAATAGATATCTATGAGACGTCAGGAGAATATTGTGTTCGTGTACATAAAAATCATTCTTGGGGCATGTTAGTCGTTTCCTAAAACTCAGAAAAACTCATCCCGTACAACCAAAGGGAAGAAATTCCTGTAAAAGGACAGAATGATCATATTTCATAGGTACGACTACAAACGCCTTTGTCGTAATGCAGCTTTGTATTTATTTTTCAGTGGACACTTGCTTTGAGCCCAGAATACGGCAGCAACAAAATATGCCTTCAGGTAACAGTTACGGTTACATGACCACATTGTGTATATGTACATTTGGGATATTATGATAATTCCAGTAACCCGTATAATTAAAACC